TGCAATGAAAAATTCATAAACTTAAACAACAAAGGTATAAACAATATTACCTAGAAATTATATTGTTACCCTGAAGACTTACTTGATTTCAGATCCAGCAATGATTAATGAGCAAAGCCAGTCAATTTGGTTCAAATCAAAATTAAAATGGCATTTTATTTGAAAAATTCGAAAGCATTATTTATTTTATTTGAGAATAATTATTTTAATGCAGTCATTATTGGGTTAATTCACAATACATGATAAGAAAAATTGATTTCGGAAAAATCAAAGTGGCATATTTAAAAAGAAATGGCAACGAAAATTAAGTCTTGTCATCTCAACTTACGTATGGCACCGGACGTAGTCATAAAAACAATGGAATGTTTTTATTATTATTAATATTGCACATTGGGCAAATATATTTTTTTAAATCTGAAATCCATTTTATGGTGTTATTGGATAGAATTTACAAAGAAAAAACAAATTTAATACTTTGTTTAAAGCACCCTGTACTGTTGGCTTTGTGCACTTTACACTTTAAATAGAACGTCCGAAAATTTTGATTTTGATCTGTAGATTGATGCTCACTTAAAACTATTTTTATAGATTTTTTCACCAAAATTAGAAAATATTTTATTTTTCTTGGACTATTTTTTTAAAATTAGTCCAGGAAATGTTTAGGATAAATTTAAAACTTTTCAATTTTTTTTGGTAAATTATTTGGTCTATCATCTTTTTAAATTATTTTTTATTGCCAATGCCATAAGATTTATTAGTAGAGGAAAATTTACCTTAAAATTTAAAACTTTTCAATGATTTTTTTTGGTAAATTATCTGGACTATCTTAGACCAGGAATATTGTACTGAAATTAGTCCAGGAAAATTAATTCAAAAATTGAAAACTAAAAGAGATTTTTGCTAAATTATCCAGAACTATACGAATTCATTAGTCAAGGAAAAGTGTTCCTAAAAATTAAAACTTTTCAATGTCCTCTTTTTGTTAAAAAAATATCTGATCTATACGTTTTATTAGTCCAGGAAATTGATACTGAAATTGAAAACTTGTCAAGTTTTCTTTAATTATCTGTGCCATAAAAATTATTAGCTCAGAAAAATTTATCATAAAATTGAAAACTTTATAAGTTTTTTTTTTGTAAATTATCTGAATTATACGATTTATTAGTCCAGGAAAATTTATCTTAAAAATTAATACTTTTCAATGTTTTTTTTTTAAATTATCTAGACTATCAGCTTTATTAGTCCAAGAATATTGATACAGAAATTAAAAACTTTTTAGTTTTGTTTAATTGCACTTACCATAAAATGTATTAGTTCAGGAAAATGTATCCTAAAATTGAAAACTATGAGCTTCTTTGCTAAATTATCTGAACTATACGATTTATTAGTCCAGGAAAATTTATCCTGAAAAATAAAACTGTTTTTTGCTAAATTATATGAATTATCAGCTTTATTAGTCCGGGAATATTAATACTGAAATTGAAAACTTCAAGTTTTATTCAATTGCCTGTACCATTAAATTTATTAATGCAGGAAAATTTATTCTAAATTTGAAAACTGGACTTTTTTGATAAATTATCTGGACTATACGTTTTATTAGCCCAGTAATATTGATCCTGAAATTTAAAAGTTTTCAATTGTTTTGTATTGTCTGTACTAAATGATTTATTAGTCCAGAATTTTTTTTCGATAAAGTGGAAACTCATACAATGTTTTTTTTTGTAAATATCATGGACTATATAATTAGGTCTGGAAAATATATCCTAAGCTTTAAACTTAGTTTAATTGGCTTAATTAGCTTACTATAAGTTTTATTAGTTTCACATAATGAATACTAAATTTCTGTTAAAATATTATTTCTAAATGCCCAATGCAATATAGTTTAAGTTTTTTTTTTTGTTATATTCCCTGGTATGTAAGTTTTTTTAAAATTTATTTTGAAAATATTCATTTAATTTTTTTTTTGTGAAAACAAGTACAAAATTTAAGAATTTAACAAAAAAATTAAAACATTCTCAATTCGCGTTAAATCGCCTTGGATTATAAGAGTTATTATTAGTACAGGTATATTACCGTAAAAATTATAAAATCGTCAAAATAAACAAGTATTAAATTTGAAAACTTTTCAATTGTCTTTTTTAAACGACTGCACTATAGATTGAGAACTAATTCAAATCTTTTTTGTTAGATTCGCTGGTAAGATTTTAGTTTTTTATTTTGAAAATATCCCCTACTCTATTTTTTTGGGAAAACATCCTGGGCAATAAGATGTGTACTAATACAAAATTTAAGAGTGTAAAAAAATTGAAAACATTTCCAATTTACGTTAAATCGCCTTAGACTATAAGAGTTATTATTGGTCCGGAAAAATTACCTTAAAAATTATAAAATCGTCAAATCCTAATTTTGAAGTTTTTTTTAATGTCCGAGTTAAGATTTAATAGTCCAGGAAAATATAACCTAAAATTAAGAATAATTCAAATATTTTTTTGGTATGTAAGATTTTTTTAAATTCATTTTTTTTTGTGAAAACACCCTTAACAAGAAAATGTTATAGTACAAAATTTAAGAGTTTGGCAAAAAAATGAAAACATTCTCAATTCGCGTAAAATCATCTTGGACTATAATATTTATTATTAGTCCAGGAAAATTACCGTAAAAATTATAAATTCGTTAAAATAAACAAATATTAAATTTGAAAACTTTTCAATTATATTTTTTAAATGCCTGCCCTATAGTTAAGATTTATTAGCCCAGGAAAATATAACCTAAGATTGAGAACTAATTCAAATCTTTTTTGTTAGATTCCCTGGTAAGATTTTAGTTTTATTTATTTTGAAAATATCTCCTATTCTATATTTTTTTGTGAAAACATCCTGGACAATAAGATGTGTACTAATACAAAATTTAAGAGTGTATAAAAAAAATTGAAAACATTTCCAATTTTCGTTAAATCGCCCTGGACTATAAGAGTAATTATTAGTCCAGGAAAATTACCTTAAAAATGATAAAATCGACAAATCCTAAATTTAAAGTTTTATTTTTTTTAATGTCCGAGTTAAGATTTATTAGTTCAGGAAAATATAACCTACAATTGAGACTAATTCAAATATTTTTTTGTTATATTCCCTGTTATGAAATTTTTTTTAAATTCATTTTTTTTGTGAAAACATCCTTAGCAAGAAAATGTTATAATACAAAATTTAAGAGTTTACCAAAAAAAAAATGAAAACATTCTCAATTCGCGTAAAATTCCCTTGGACTATAAGATTTATTATTAGTCCAGGAAAATTACCGTAAAAGTTATAAAATCGTCAAAATAGTATTAGTATTAAATTTGAAAACTTTTCAATTGTCTTTTTTAAATACCTGCACTATAGTTAAGATTTATTAGCCCAGGAAAATATAACCTAAGATTGAGAACTAATTCAAATCTTTTTTGTTAGATTCCCTGGTAAGATTTTATTTTTATTTATTTTGAAAATATCCCATAATCTATTTTTTTGTGAACAATGTGTACTGATACAAAATTTAAGAGTGTAAAAAAATTTAAAAACATTTCCAATTTTCGTTAAATTGTCCTGGATTATAGTCCAGGAAAATTACCTTAAAAATTGTAAAATTTGAAGTTTTATTTTTTTAATGTCAGAGTTAAGATTTAATAGTCCAGGAAAATATAACCTAAAATTAAGAATAATTTAAATATTTTTTTTGTTAAGTTCCCTGGTATGTAAGATTTATTGATGCACTTTAGGGACCAAAAGTATACTTTTAGATCCTATTTTTGGGGACTAAACTGGCACGTTTACTCCCCATTTATTAAAAAAAAAATACTTTTAATCCCTCGGCATATTATACAACCAAAAATACAGTACAAAGTACAATATACTATAATAACCTTGCACTGACATCGTTATTGTTTTATTTCATAATTTTATTTTTTTTAATTTTCGTTAAATACATAAAATAGCGTATAAACCATGGCACTGAGGTGTCTATATCCCTCGACGATAAAAAGTTTCACTTCAGTCGCTTGTTGTGTAATATTTTTTCATTAATTTTGAAAATATCCCTCTTGTGAAAACATCCTGTACAATAAGATGTTAACTAGTAAAAAATAAAAAAAAATCATAATTTTAAATTTTCCTGGACTATAAAACTTATTAGTCAAGGAAAATTACCTTAAAAATGATAAAATCAAAATAAACAAAGAATACGTCAGAAATCAAAATTTTCGGACGCCCTGTAACGCAGCAATACAAGCTATAATATAAATAAAATCAAAAATAAATAACAATCAACGCTAAACTTTTATTAATTATAAAATAATTTAATCATATTATTATTACTAATTAATATATTCATAAATAACGCGGTCATCTAAATATAACATCGAACCGAATCCAGATCGTTCAGTTTTTTAAACCCTCAACTTAAATATAACGAATAAATAGTACTTACTCACCTAAAATATTATTTATCTCTGTATAATCACTCAAATAAATAAAAAAAATAACATAATTATTATTAAAACGAGATATAAATAGAACCGAAATTTTACGCTCGATCACCGAGGGGATGAAGAGAGAGGGGGGGGGGGTTCCTACGACAGGGAGAGAAAAATCCACAACATCAAAAAAGGGTTGATGTTTTTTTTTTTCAATAGGTATTCTTACCAGCAGAACACCCATCTTCTTACATCGAACAATAAAGCACAGGGGACTTTTTACCAAGAATCATTAAACATAGTTTTTTTTCTCAGTTATACCGATTATGTACAATGACTAGACTGTTTCATCCTCCAATTAGCAGGCGAAACGAAAAGTCCGATAATTTTTTTGTATGCGTGCGTGTATGTGAGTATGTCTGTTGTGTGATTTGATCACTTATGTATGTTTTACTATTTTGTTTTTGTTTTTTGTTTGTTTTGACAACTAAGAGAAGAAGGTGAAGGATGATGAAGACTATTGTCAGGAGGTGGATGCCGTCGTCTTCTTCCTTCATCGGATATCCCGGATGTTGTGCTTTGAGCCGAATATCTTGAGCATTTGTTCTTCATAATCGGTGATGTTTCGCTTCATGATCTCCATGCACGGACCTAATAACCTCTCGAAGGCTTCCACGTCCAAAACTGAAAATAAACACCATTCGGTTGGCGAACAAACAGAAAAATATCGAACAAAAAACAACCGACTTACATGCGCATCTAACGTCTCCGTCGCAAAAAGCCGACGCCGCCCTCGGACGATGTGTAACCAGAGCTAGTTCGCCAAAGTAGCCGCCCTTGATGATACGATTTATCTCCACCTCTTTGCCGCTATCGTCTAAAACGCTGATGATGATCTGGCCTTGCTCCACGAAATACATTCCGTCCGCCGCGTCGCCCTGTTTTATGATTCTGTCCCCGTCTTTGAACACTCTAAGAAAAACAATAAACGATTTATTATACTGTATTCATACTTTATTCGTGCTATATTCATGATATATTCATACTATATTCGTACTATATTCATACTGTATTTATACTGCATTCGTACTGTATTCATACTTTATTCATATATTAGTCTCCATCTATACACAATTATAAATAATATTCAATATTATCTCACAATTTTCATTAGTATTTCTCTATGGCTAAGAATTTTTTGTTTCAAGTTTGTAAAATGTAATATTAATGTTAGCAATTGGTATAAATTTGTAATTTCATCCATAATAATTAATTTTCTTACTCTTTATGGTTAAGGCTGTGTTCATTTTCTGCATTAATTTTTTAATAAATGATGGTGAAGAAGAATAATTGGTCACCAGAAATCTCTCCACTTCTTTTGTTTACCGTGTTATTCCAGAAATAAGTAAATTAATAATTATATTTTCTTCATGGCAAACAATAAACGATCTATTATTATTCTGTATTCATACTGTATTCAGATATACATAAATATCTAATTTAATTCAAGTATTTTTTAATAAAAGACAAGAACAAAGTCTCACCTGGGAACAAGCGCATCGGCAAGATTCATGCGTTCGTACGGCTGCAAAGTCTTGAGCATCGGTACGCTCTCTATCAACGTTTCGTACATCTTCCTCTTTTTGAACGCCGATTTGAGAACGATACGCCTAAACGTGTGTCTGTCCATCGCCCAGAGGGAGCCTTCCGAAACGGCCTTTACGGTAGCCGCGCGCGGCATGTTGTACAGCAACGCCAATTCGCCGAAGCTGCCGCTGTCTTCGTAGGTGTGGATGTGTTTCGGCTCCGGCGAGTTATCGGTGCTGACCAAAACGTGGTAAGTTCCACTGAAAAAAATGAAAGAATACGTATTGTTTTGCGTTTATACAAAATGGTAAAGTGCGCTTTATCAATATCTATTAATACTGTATTCATACTATATTCATACTATATTCATACTGTATTCATACTGTATTCATACTGTATTCATACTGTATTCATACTGTATTCATACTGTATTCATACTGTATTGAATTTTGCTAATTAAATTATAATTGGGTACTTTTGTTGACTTGCTTGAATAGTCCTTGCTCTGGCAGGCACTAATTTCAACCCTCTGGTGGTTCGAGATTTCACTTTTACTTTTTATTGTCTTGAATTAAGAGATAACTGGGTGGGATCAAATTAAGTTACACCATTCTGAATAGGGATTGTATATTTTAGGGTTTTGGGACCAGTGTTTGGATTCAGTTTTTGGACCCAGTATTTGTATCCGGTGTTTGGAACCAGCGTTTCGGTTTGATGTTGAAGTATTGAAGAAACTGTAAGGTACCAGTGTTTCGACTGGGAATTGCTGTTGCTACAGAGATTTGGCATCGTACGACTACAGTGCCACAGGCGACACCTTTTGCCTTACAGTCATTTTATAGAGCTTAGAGAGCGATGGGAATTGTCCCTGATCTCCGCCACAATGAACGGTATTTTTCCAAAGAAGTATATCACCTGAATACTGTGGTACACCTAAGAAGTCAGACGGTCTTAACCGAAATGGAGGATATCCAATTGAAGGCTGTTATTGCCAGAAACTGATTGAAAATGGGAGAAACCTGAGGGTGTCCTGATATGGCTGAACATGTCGTTGTGACACAATCACCGCCTATCAAACAGAGCTATTATCCTGTGTCGCCGGTAATTCAACAACACATTAATAAGGAACTGGATGAGATGCTCGCTAAAGGCGTAGTTGAAAAATCCCATAGTGGCTGGTCTTCACCTTTCTTATTAGTCAAGAAGAAAGATGGGAGTTACTGTTGTTATGTTAACTTCAGGAAGCTTAATGTGGTGACAGAGATAGATGGATATACACTGCCTACTAACACGCTCGATAAATTAAGGGATGCACACTATCTTTCGTCTCTTGACATTAAATCTGCTTACTGGCAGATACCTGTAGCAGAAGCGTCTAGACCTTATACAGCTTTTACAGTACCGGGCAGAGGTTTATTCCAATTTCGCCGAATGCCTTTCGGCCTACTACTTGGCAGCGTTTGATTGACACTGTTTTGGGTTCAGAACTGGAACCTCATGTCTTTGTATATCTAGATGATGTAGTTATCGTTACCCAAACTTTTGAGAAGCATTTGGCCGTTTTAGAAGAAGTGCAATGTTGAAGTTTCTAGCACCAAAAAGTATCAAAGTTGTCAGAATGATCTTAGGTACTTTCTCTTGGTATCGAAGGTTTATACCCGATTTCGTCACGCTAATATTGCCAATGTCGGCATTATTGAGGAAAGGACGTAAGTTCGAGTGGACAGATGAATGTGATGTTGCTTTTCAGAAAATTAATAAATATTTGGTGTCCGAACCAGTTTTAAACTGTCCCGATTATGGTTTACCTTTCTAAGTTCACACTGATCAGATTATGGATTAGGCGCAGTGTTGTTACAGAAGGAGGATGGAGAAGACCGAGTTATTAGTTACCTGAGCCGATCTCTGTCTAAACAAGAAAGGAATTATACTACCACGGCTATCGAGAAACTTCGAACTTACTTGGAGGACGTGCGCTTTACGGTCTATACAGCCCATTGGTCTTTAGTATGGTTACATAACCTTAAAGATGTAACTGGACGTTTGACTTGTTAGGCATTAAAATTGCAACAGTACGATTTTATCGTCGTACATAGGAAGGGAAAGAATCACGTGGTGCCAGACGCATTGTCTAGAGCTGTTCCTGTTTTGGATTCTTGTGAGGTTTTTGAGGTGACTGTAGAGACTCAGGACAAATGGTATAACAGATTGTTCGGCAAGATATTGAAACAACCTATTAAGTTTTCAAATTTCCGCCTTCATCAGGGGCACTTTATAAATATACTTATCCAAAATTCAACGGTCTCGGAGACCCAGGGGATGATTAACCTTAGGAAACTAGATCATCCCTGCCATATTGTAACAGAAACTTGATTATGTAACATTAGGGTCTATTATCTCTACAGGGTGTTTCGCATAAGTTAAGACCCAGAACAGGTGCTTGTTGAGCACCCCAGAATATGATGATTTAACGCAATTTATCTATATACCTGTACAGATGTAAATTGCGTTAAATCATCATATTTGGGGTGCCCAACACGTACGTTCTGAATCGTTACTTATACGGAACACCCTGTATGTATATGAGTGAAATAAAACTGACTGACTCATCACGAGATATCCAAAACTATAAGCCCGATTGACTTGAAATTTGACATAGTTAGTGCTTTTTCGATGTAGACACCCACTAAGAACGGATTTTATACATATCACATTTTAAGGGAGGGAAACAGGAAGTGAAAGTTTGTATGGGAGTATCGAATTATTTAAAAATAGAAACTTGAAAAATGGAATTGTAGCTACTCATCATAAATAAATAATGATATATTTCGGGGTTTTTAGATTTTTACATTTTAAGGGAGTGTGAATGTTGTAGTATTGCAGTAGTGACGACTCGTGGTAATTTAAAATAAGGGTTCTTTTTTTCCAATAGTTCTATAGTTTTAGTATTTGTAAAACTTTGTACAAGAGCCAATATCCCTCAAAACTTCTTTGGCGTCGTCCGTTTTAATACAAGTAAATTCCTATTTTTTTAAGATTCCTGAGTCATGAAAAGATTGCTTGATAATATCACTTGGATGATCCATTACTAGAAATGGTACATTGCGTCCTACAAGCGCAGACACTATTTTAATTTCTACCGTTTTTATTTCATCTAAGACATTTTCGAAGGACTTGTCAATCTAAAAAAGCAAAGTTTTTCCTGTTGTGTTGGTTAGCCTTTAGAGAGGACAAACCTTAGAGCTGCCACTGAATCCTGAAATATGCTTTTTATACTTCGCACAAACATTATGCTTTTCTGGTGAAGCATTTTTTGATTAAATTACCTGGCTATACATTAGCTACTACACCCACCTTGGGCTTTGCAAAGCAAAGAGATGAAAATAATGGGTTTTGTTCCCATTTCGCCCGGTAGAACTGTTCAAAACTTTATTTACACAACACCACCCTATAAGTAAAAGTAATCGTATCAAGTAAATTCAAATACGCACTGCAAAACCCGAACAAAATACAAAAATCGATAATCTTTTTTTTAATTAATCGATTATTTAAGATTAATCGAATCGATTATTTTCCAGTTCTTAGAGATAATTATTATATTCGATTTTAATAAAACGATTACAATACCATACTGTTTTCAAACACTACAACTATTAACTAACTTGCTGTACTCTCTAGTGATAAATAAATAATTGATTCATAAAAATAGTCGATTAATGGAAAAATCGAATAATCGACTAATTAAAAATAACCGATTTTTTTCAATAACTGATTATTAAAAAAATCGAAAAGAATCTAAAATAATCGATCTTTCGGAAAAAGCCATTATCGAAACGAATCGATTAATCGAAAATAATCGATAAATCGTAAAGAATCGATTATTTTTAGGTAATCAATTATTCAAAAATAACATTATTTATTTTGAATATCTCCCAGCCCTAATGTTTTTAGCAATCATTTTAAGTAACAAAATTATTTAAATACTTGAGTAATTGGAATTTTTTGTTAAGTTATAGAAATCTACTAAAATCTACCAAAAAAAAAAAAATTGTCTATTAAAACTAGCCAAAAAAGCTGAAAATCTACCAAAAAAAGCAGAAATCTACTAAATGTGGCAACATCGGATTGAGTGATCTCGACCAAGCACAACGACTAATGGTTGGTCTAAGCGAAGCTAACTGTAGTAACGTAATCTACGTGCGATGCACAAAATAATGCTACAAATATCGTGGTTTCAAGAAGGCACACTGTTTCACGGATCTATTGACCTCTCTTTTTAACTACAGACGCATCAGCCAGAGCGCAAAGGGGTACCAAAAAAAGTAGAGATTAACACTTACGAAAATAATTATATTAAATTGAATTTATATTTTTAAGTTATTTATATGATTTTAAAATAATGTGTTCACTGCAAAAATAAATCATTTTTTAAAGGTAGGAACCTGAAAGTTTGAATTGTAGCTACTCGTCATAAAAATAAATAATGACAAGTTTCATGGTTTTGGATTTTCACATTTTAAGGGATAGAGAGGCTAGCTCAATTGTGAATTATCATACTATCACATAAACCCTAAAACACACATCGCTGCTTTTTTTGGAAGTTGTAAATTTTTTATATTAAAAACAAGAGTTTTATATAAGCTACCAAAACTGTAGGAACTTCATTTTTATGCCAATATATCAATATGTCAAATTGACATATTAACGATTTAATATATCAATATGTCAAACTGACATATTAACGATTTAATTAAAAATATTTTGAAAATCCTACAATAAAAGAATGTATTCTTCCAAATAAAAAAAATCTTTAAAATGTTTATGTTCTTAATAATTCCGAACCCTGTTTTGGATAAAACATTTATTGGTTATAGCTAACACGGCATTTTTGATATCTAAAATACTTGGATACGACAACATGGAGCATATCCGAGGTCAAGCCCCAAAGAATCTAAATGCAATTAGAAGAGGACATAAACTTTTACTTCACTACATGTTTATGATGTGTTTACAGATAACCTGCCAGTTAGGAATAGTTTATTGTTATTTGTTGAGCCAAGAGCGTAAAGGAACCCGATAAATAATATTAGAGGACTAAAAAGAGACATTTGTGTCTGTTAAAATATATTAGTCTAACAACATTGAGCCAAGAGCGTAAAGGAGAACCCGATAAATAATATTAAAGGAATAAAAAGAGACACGTGTGTCTGTTAAAATCTATTAGTCCAAAAACATACATTAAATCAATCCGACGCTCTTT